TATATATATATATATATATACATACAAATATCCAAGGATCAAGTATGAAGTTCTTCGGGGAAAGAGGATCCGATCGACAGAGGACAAGGGAGGGCGGATCTGTCTTCCACGCTTCTCCCCTTCCGTTCTCTTCTCCCCTCTCGTTTTCTTTTGCGCGCAGGTAACATCAACGGTACATAGACTAGGCGCGAAGCTATATAACACGAAACTTAAGGCTAGGCGTTCGTTTCCTAAATACGGTGAAATCGTATCGACCAACCCCTGGACAGGTGTCATCGCAAAGGCGTAGCCAGCTGTTCAGAATAAGTCAGAGAGGCACCGGTGATGTACGTACGTACATACGTTCAGAGCGTAAAACGTGGAGGAAGAAAAATGGCTGCGGGACGCGAGCCTGCAAGCTTTGCGCGGCAAAGTGTGTCGTGATTTACCGAATCTAGAGATATACGCTTGATACAGAGAGAACGACGCTGTGTCGTCGAGAATAACTGTTACTCGATGGAAAAGGCGGGGCAGGAATTTGCAGACTTGTTATTTGATAAGCTCGAAAACGGAACGACATATATATTTGTGTGTGTGTGTGTGTGTGTGTGTGTGTGTAAACGACACGAATGTCTCGAGCGATGTAACGCGAGTGTGTGGCGGAGGTTCGATATAAAAAATGTGAGACGCGAGCTTGCAAGCTCGCGCTAAGCTCGATACGCCCGATCATCGTTCGCGGATGAACCCTCGAGTGTCCATTGATCATCGTGCTTGATCTCGAAGGTTTCGCTGTATAAAAAGTGGGAAGAGCTTGCAAGCCTGCGAGAAGCACGCCACCGTTCCCGGTCATTTGTTTGTCACTCGTCGTGTGTGAATTCCTTCCAACCGACTCTGTCACGCGAGAGATGTGTGTATAAGGTGATACATTATATCTTGATAAGATGGCGAGTGCAAGGAAACGCGTGAATCTTGCGAGCTTGCAGAATCCGAGCGTGCCTGATCGCTGTGTGTGTGTGTGTGTGTGTTGAACAGTGTCATAATTGTTACAGTGTTACAGTAGTCTAACTAGATACGCCTCTGGATGGCTGAGGGGATAAATTACAGACTAGAAATTGATACGGGTGTTGCACGTCCAAAGAGCAAAGTGAAAGTTGTTCGTAGCAAAGAGGAATCCGCAGGCTGATGCAGGCGGCTGATATACAACGGTATTATTACTTATACAAACGCTAGGTTTACTTCATCCCTCTCATCATCGCTTAATCTTCTATATATCGCGTAATCGATTCGCTGAGGGCTCTGACAGGGACTAGCATTAATTTTAGTCGTTTCGTTATTTCTTCTTCTTCTTCTTCTTCTTCTTCTATACGATTCATTGCTATACTCTTTTCGATCTATCTTCGTTTTCGTGCTCGATATTTTGATTCGTAACGATCAGGACCGAGTGTATTCCGTGACGTCCGACATCTATCTATTTGTTCGAAGCTAATCTAGTCCTGAACGACGAGAGCCTTCTTGACGAGCATCCAGGTGAATCTGGGATGTATCAGAAGTAGGCGAGCTAGAGACAACGAGGGAGCGTTCGGCTTGAGGCACTAGGACGCGTCCAGGGCGAGGCACTCTGCGAGGAAGTCCTCCATGGAACGATAAGCGTGTTCCAACACGCCTGTCAAGGCGTGGTCTTCGTCCGCGTAACTCTGTTGAATTAGAAATTCTGACTCGTACATATATTTTGATCGCTGACGCTACCCTCTCCACTGCATTGGTAGGGCAATCAACGGAGGGGATAGTGATAGGAGAATGGCTTCTCCAGGATCAATGTTGTGTTTTTCAAAGAATCACGTACCTGGTACCTAAAGATGATACCCGCTTCGGATAGAGCCTTAGCAAAGGCGACACCGTGCGTATAAGGCGCTGTGAGGTCAGCTAGACCATGAAGAAGGTAGAGGCTATGACTGGGCACCAACCTTGCCCTCTGGGTCAGATCAGCCTCCACGTAACCTTTGTAGTTCTCTGCTGGGGCACCAAGGACTCGCTCCGTGAACGCGGAATCTGAAACGAACGATACACACACACACACATACACACACGTCTGGACAACCGTTGGAACGATAGAAATCTTCATTTGTTCGAAATGTGCAAAACTCACTGTAATAGAGCCAATCGGCGATAGGATTTACAGCGACGCCACACTTGAACACGTTCTCCTGGCTACCCAACACCATGGCAGTCACGTAGCCGCCATAACCCCAACCCCACACACCCACCCTCGTGACGTCCAGGTACTTCAGAGTCTTCAGCAAGTGCTTCAACACGGTCAACTGATCTTGAACCTCGACGCCGCCGATCCGCCTGAACAGATCTCGTTTCCCCTGACCCCTGGCACCGCGGACGTCCAGCCTGATGTACACTACGTCATTGTGGCTGGACATGTAGGTCCCCCAGTCGATTCTGAATCGATCCGTCACTGCTTCGCTACCTGGACGACCGTTCACCTCGACCAGGACAGGGAACGCCGCGTCTCGAAGCTCCTCCCGCCACGAAGGTGGTAACAACAGTTGCACTTGAGCCTTCCATCCTTGAGGTAGGGGTACCTATGGCGAGAAATTCCCTTGAAATGAAAGATCGAACTGAAAGAAAGCAACTGCTTATCTGAGATCTGCGAGAAGACGACCGTTCGACTAGTTACTTTCTAGTGTGTGGTTTTGTTGGAGAAATAACAATTGAACGTTGTGATGCCACGAGTGATCTGAGTTTTCGCGAATCTTGAGAAATTAATAGGGGAATTTTTGCAGAGAACGATGAAACGGTAAAAGGACACTTGTGATGGCGATCAGCCATTTTCTCATTTTCTATAGTAGTAGTAGCAAGTAGTACCTCGAAGCTTCTTCGAGTTGGTAACGCCAGTTCAGAAAGTTTGTCTCCTCGTTGGATTCGCGTGTCATATAACACGCGGATCATCTTGTGAGAGGTGGTCAAGTGCATGCCAGCTAGTGGAAGGCCTGGACCCTCGCAGTAGAGAACGTAGTAACCCTGAGATTCGTCGTCGATTGCTGCACTTACGGAGGCACCAAAGTGCGTACAGTTGGTGTAGTAGAATCTGTAAAATTTATTAATTCTTACTGTGAAATTTACACTCATAGTTGCTTGTCATCGATCACGGCTAACGTTGCTCTAAACTCTGATAGTTAGATATCCTCGGCATCTTGAGACTTAACAACCTGGATGCAAGCTAGAAGTCTGTAATATTTGACAATATCTAATTTTTGTGATCGACTATAAAACTAACTTAACTCTTTAACCACCATTTCTCGCGCAATTATCGTCAATAAATTCCTCAAGGATTTGTAGGAGACAAATGAAATAATTCACAGTTCCGTTTTTAATTCTGTTTTAAATTCTGAGAAAATTGACAGAAGAGTTAGAGTTAACTTGGACACGAATTTTCTACGTCCTAAGTACACAAGGACTCACCTACTGCTCCAAAGAACTTCGCCAAGATCACACGTGACGCAGAGCGGCTCCAGACGCCGGGGATCATCGGCAATGGGATCACGAACTACGTAAAGATGTCTCTGGCCCGGCCTTCTCTCCCTGGTGCCCAAATAGTAGACCAAATGGGCTTTCGTGTCCCACGCTAAGATCTCGCTTACCTTACACACGCGAAACAGGGGAAATATGTGTAGAAAAAAAAGTGCCAATTTTTCACGTGATTAGCTGTTAATCTGTCTCTCACCTCGTAACGACCATGAGAGAGGACCGCTATCCTCTGTTGTGTCAAGGTTACGTGCTTGATGTGGGTGAAGTGTTCTTTATCACCCTCCTGAACAGAAGCCAACAGCAAGAAGCTGTCACCGTCAGGGGCAAATACAGGATGAGGTTGTGCGTCTAACCATTGTCCTTCTGGCGCTCTCTCCGAGTGGGTCTCCTCACACTCCCACATCGGTGCTCGACAAGCCGATACTAGCGAGAGATTCTGCGATCTGGTCATCCAAACGACCGCCACTTGGCTGGAGTCGTCGCCTACCCAGCCCGCGGATATTAGATAATACTCCCTACGATCGAAACGAATTTTCTCTTCATCGATTTGCTCCGACTATTTTCCATCGAATTTCTCTGTCGTTAAAAAATTCCTTACTTTTTTCGACTCGATGATTTTCTTTTATTTCTAATCTCGTCTATATTGCAATTCATCAATTCCTGCAATTTCCTTAGTACCGAGAATTACCAAGAGAGAAACTCAAAACTTGCCAATTTTTTTTTTTTCTTTTTTTTTACAAAAATTATCAACGCGTTCAATTAACGCAGAAACTTGAGCTCGAAGGATCTTCAGAGCTACTCACTGCCCGTCCAAAGCAGTTGGCGGCTTCACCCTCGTCCTGAACAGCGTGGTCGAGTTCGCGCTACCATTCCCATTGACGAAATTGGTCAGGTTGCTCAGCTCCATGATCCACAGATCGACCTCCGGATTCGGCGAGCCAGGGGTGGGATATCTAACCGACTTGGAGGGTGGGAACGAGCCTCTCCTGGTCGCGGACAAGGGGCTGGAACTGGGCCCGTCCTGACCCAGTTGCGTGCCGAACCAAGGGAATTCCAGGGCAGTGACCTTGGTGTCGTTGAAGGAAGCGTAGAGAAGGTGCGTGCCATCGGGGCTAGGCCAGGCTGCTTCCGGCCGCGGCAGCACTTCTTCCTGATACAGCCAGTCCGGCACGCCGTTGTATATGACGCCGGGAACGCCTGTCTCGGTTATTCGCACCTCCTCTGCCGCGGACGGCGCTATTCTCACGTATATGTCGTTCTCGGAGATCATCAGGAGGCCGGACGTGTTGCCCAACCAGGCGGCGTGCTCCATCCGCGTCTGCTCCATCCTCCGCGACGTGTGCAGACGAAGAGGCGTGTGGTGGCTGAAAACAGCGAAAAACCGCGGGTAAATATAGCTCCGGCAAGCTTCTCGTCGTCCGGCAGACGTTTACTTACTCGTTCGTGACGTCGTACACTGTGTAGTGCGCGGTGAAGGTATTTCTGAACACCTGCAATCGAACGCACCGTTCCGTTAGTTCGGCAGTTTGTTTTCAACTGGAATTTAATTTACAGGTTTTCAATGTTTTCTCGGGTCTTTGCCGATCAGAGAATTTTCGTTTTAAGTAATATTACGTCCAAGGGCAACTAACTATAGCACAGGCCGAAAGTTCGACTACCACTTGCTACATTTATATTCCGCAATCATCGTTCGTTTGATATTTCGTGTAATTTCAACACTAAAACAAGGAAATTAATATAGACGTTAGAAGACAAGGAAATTCTATACATTCAGCGTGCAAAACTTTTGGTGGTTGGTAGTATAGAGAAACTTTTAAGCTTGAACTCTTGAACTCACAGTTTTTCATTTCCAATCACTGACGATTGGCAGTTTGGAGTGAGACTCAAGGTTGTCGGAATCGTTCCTATCGCAGTTTCTATCACTCACCGGTTTGACATTGTGCTTGAACAACACGTAACGCAGATCGGAGCTGCACTGGTAGCCTTGAACATTCAGCTGTCTCTGGAAATAAAGCCGTCGAAGATTTACGAGCTTGTGCATTTTCCATTTTCCGCGCTGGTGCTATATTTTACGATCGTTCGGCTATCCTCGCGAGTCGAACGTTTCTCGAATTTCCGACGAACAACCTCTCGGAGCACAAGTCCATGTACAACGGCCTCTCAAACCACATTGTCGCATTTTCTCAACGCTATCAATCACGCTTTCAATTGTATAGTCCAGCGTCATTGTTATTAATCTGTTTGGCAGATAACAATTTCCAACTACAATGAGCAGACAGTGCGAGTTTCTGTGAAGAAAAACGCACAGGGTGCACGTAATATGCAAAAGAGTATAAAATGTCCAAAGTGCAATACTCTGTATAATGAAGAACAATTTTCACATCTATTTTCCTTTCTTTTTTTTTTCAAATTTTACTTATAAAAATAGGAATTTGCGAGCAGTCTAGCAATTGGTATTACAACTACAATACATTTCGAAATAACGGAGCCTTTAATGTGTTGACTCCCCATGCCTGTCAGACGAAATTTTTTTTATTTTCTTTCTTTTTGTGAAATTTTTTGTGAATTTCTCGAAAACTCTGTCTCTTTGTCTCGACTAAAAAAAAAAAGGTACTGTAAAGTGAAATATGAAAATCAGAGTTCGATGTCTGTTTGCGAATGAAATAGTCACGATATCGAAAATATAGACAATTTAAAGCTTTGAAGTACAATGAATAGAAAATTTAAAAAAGATTGATACTTTGGCACTCGAACATCGAGACTCGTACGCTACTATTAAAAAACTTTCGAGTAGTCGAAGGTTTGTTTCTCTAGTCACCGGGTGGAAATCGGTTTCGAGGGATTCGCCTCTTCGTCGATGCTGCTCGTCGAGAGCATTCTATTCGAAAGCGATAATGCGGGCGAAAGTACTTAACTCGATCGAAATGTTCACACACTCGTCGAGTAAAATCTCTGCGTCCAATTTCATTAACGGCGACAGTTCTCTGCCTCTTACATAGCCGGGCCGTTTAATCTTCCGAGCGTTCTTTGGAATCAGCGAAAGCATTGACAGCGATTGTCACGGTTCGCGCTCATTAACCGCGATTCCTCTGACTCGGCAGCAACGAACCGTTATTACCCTCAATCGTATTTCGTATTCCCCCGTCGTCGGATGATGAAAGATCGTTTCGTTTAACGACTGCTAGCTAAATTTGTCGCTTTCTCAAATCCCTCGCGAGTTCGTCCTTATCCTGGATGTTCTACAGTTTAATGGCGAAACTCTGTCACGTTCTACATCGAAAATATAGACAATTTAAAGCTTTTAAGTGAATACAAAAGATTTAGAAAGATTGATACTTTCTAGTACGCTAAAACTATTATAAGAAATTTTAGATATAATAGTTTAGATTAATTCCCAAACTAAAGAACAATTCATTTTTCTCAAGAATTCTAACTAGAGTCCTAGAATCTGCATGAGAGATTAAAGCTTCGTCAGAAGATTCTTCATATTTATACAATAATTTGTTTCTCAGTGAATGTTGCCCCGGCGAATATTGGACGATTTCTTCTTGCTCTCCTTTTTATTTCATCCTTTATCGATCTTTCTTCTCTCCTGTTCATCTCGTTCTAGTTCGCGATCGTTTCTCGCTCGGCCCACGGGCACGCGGGATCGTTCTGTCGCGTCGAGCGGAAAATGCAATAGCGCCGAGACGAATGACACCCTTTTCTCTTGAATAAACCGGCGAATACCTCGAACTTCGCCTTATATACGGACTACTCTCCTTGTTTTATGGCGCGCCGCGGGCTAAACCCGCCATAGCGAAGACCACGGATGTTTGTTACTTCTCCATTTCTCACTCTAGCCTTCGTCGAAAAAGAGAAAAAATCTCGGCGATCGGTGAAAAGGAGGCAAAAATTCGTTTAATTCGTTTAATTCTCTTTTTTTTTTTTTTTAAGAAATTCGACCTTCCAGTTGGTGTGAAATGGAGTTAAGAGCACCGACTGTATCAATGACAATGGAAAATTGTCGATAATACACGTTGATAAGAAAGAAGAAAGATCTCATTTTAAAACACGAAGCTTTTTTTTATAGATGATTTTCAAGTAACGAGCGAGAAAACGAGAATACTTTTTTTTCTATCGAGAAAACATTAAAGAGTCAAATATTATTTTTTGTAGCTAGGTTTTAGCCATCATTCTGAAGATTGAGGCTAAACTCTTAAAATTTGTACAATTTTTATTGAACGTTAAACGACAAAAATTCAAGAAATTCGTCATTTAACCCTAATGTTTAAAATTCAATAAAATGGTAAAAAGAAAGTTTTAAGGGCTCTTTGTAAAGAGTACAGTAGATTTGGCAATGAAAAAAATTTTTTACAGATTTTTGAGAAAAACGAAACTTTCTCGCCCGCTATATGATGTGAAAACATTTTTGAAAAGAAAAATGAACTCAGAATTGCAGAAGCTTTATACAATACTTTAAAATAAGATCAAATATCGAAGTAGATTATGAGATTCTTTACAAAGTTTTGATTAAAAATTATCGACAATTTCTCACTGTCATTAGTATAGTTGTGTTCTCCACTGTAGCTTCAGAGTAAAAGTTTATTAACAAGAATATTAATTAATCACAAATTTTTAATTGCTTTTTCGTTAATTCGCTAAAATTAAGAGGAGCTATCTTCTTATTGCAACAATTGTGCGAATAGATGATAGAATTTAATTAGTATGAATTTTCTCCTTCATACATGACTACCGCTTCCGGTTTCAATCTCCGAAATGTACGGAAAATATATTTTTTGAAGTTAATTAATAATTTATTTTAATTAATAATATACAGAGTCAATTAATAATATACAGAGATGTATATTACATTATTAAATCTTAAATTGTCTGAATAATTCTACGTTGGATTTTTGCAGGCTACTAAATAAAAAGAATAATTAAACTTTCCTCTACATTGAAAATCACTGTGAAATACCGAATAAAAAGAGTAATCAAAATTTCTACGACACTTGTATTACATGCGTAAGTGAAATTGCTCGGTATTTCATCCTACACAGGCTGAAATCTCTCGTTTCACATCGCGCTAGTCTAAATAATTCTACATCAGATGTTTGTAGGATAACTAAATGAAAAGAGTAAACTAATTAAAAATTTCTTTTACATTGAAAATTATCGCCAAAAGAAAGGAGAATTGAAATTTCCAATCAAATAAAGAGAATAATTGAAATTTCTACTTCTATTACATGTATCAATGAAATTACTCAGTATGCCACGCTGAAAATCTTCCGTTTCACGTCGCTCGCGATATTTCGCATTTCTTAATTCCGCGTTTCGTCGAGAATTCGGACGAGATTCTCCCGCAGGTCGAAGTTTCCCATCGCTCGGACGAGAAACGTTTCGCTTTAATTGCCATTAACCTCAGAGTGGATTCCGCAAGCGTGGTTCCCGCGTGTTTAATTAATTTCATTCGCGCGGTAAGTCGTTGAAATTTATGATCCTCTTTGGATGAGCAGACTGTTCAGGAAGCAGGCAGCGTTGATACACGCTATTCTCGCAACGCTCCTCGGATTTTCAAGTCCTCCGATTTCAAGCTGAGAAATATTCCCGAATTTTGGAAATCATAAGACTTGATTGAAGCTAGGGAATTTGTTCACTGATTCAAATACTTGCTCAAACGTTTGAACGAGGCCATTGCACTTGGACTACATGTCGATTCATCGAGACAGAATTTTAATTGCCGCCAAAATTTACACCGAGGAGCACTCATCGAAGAGACATCTGTTCCGCTGAGTCTCGTATTAGATTTGCACGAAATTTCTATCAACACTCTCGGATCGTAGAGCATGGTCAGAGCTTCATAAACATGCATAGAAAGATCAAAATGCGGCGCGACTCTCGTTTTAAACTATGCAGATTCATACGAAATGATCGTCTTTCTCCTCGAGGTCCGCGAGGTTCATTGCAGAAAACTACCTTCAAATATTTGTACTCTTTAGGTGTGATGATAATGAATTCCAATTGGTAGCCTACAACGTCCTGCAGAAATTTTGCATACTTGTCGTAGAGAATATGTTAATATTATATTCCAATTGTATTAAACGAAATTTAAACGAAAAATTAGAATGTGAAGAGATAGTTCTAGACACGGTATTTGCATACTTGTCACATGGAAAATTTCTCCAACGTCATGTTATGTGAATTTTGGATAATCGTGACTACATATCAACAAAATTTGACTTAGTACAAAAAGTAATTCTAGGATAAATTTTCCAGAGAAGGATAAATATCTCCCGTCAAAGCTCTATTTGTCGAAAGGTAATATTTCCGACGGGTAGTGTGGAGAAAAGAAAAAGTGTAAAATCGTGTGAAAAAAAAGTCGATACCGCGGCTAACGTGATTGTCAAAATTGCTTTCGCTGGTTTTTTTTTCCCCCTCCACGGTTCTTCAAATTAATATTCATATCCCTTTGTATGCAATTTTCACGATCGCTTCACGTTGTGTAGCTTTCGGTAAACTGTCACACCGATTTTCGATCGACTTTTCATCAGCATTGTCGAATCGTACAGCATTTAAGCAAATTTCTGCTTCTCAATGCAAGAACAATTTCCTATATTTTTGATTATCCGAGCCTTTCTTACAAAATTCTCTTATCATTAGTCTACTCTATCATTTCATTGAGCTGTTCTTTGAACAAAGTTCCTAATAAATATCATCGTTCCAGTCGATTTCACGGAACTGATCCAACGTAATCACAGAATTAGTGTACGCAGATCGTGTGATAGATACGTACGAGCGTGTGATTAGAGACCAGAAGGGCCACGGAATTGTTGCTGGTGTCCAGGAGAGTGAGGGAACCGTCGTCCGCCTGGTAGACAAACTTGTCGTGGGAAACCCAGGTCGGTGTTAACCTGTGCGGCGTCAGATCATCACGAAGGCACTCGTCTAACGTGAGCCGTCTGCCGCTCCAATACAGCAGCTCGTCGACGTACCTGAAAGTTCGTGTCCACTTTGACAAAAGCTCTACTAAAACAGAAATAAAACAGCTCGAGATCGGTTAAATGTCCGACGATAATTTGATTAATTGCGTAAACCATCGATTTTCGAACGAAGCCTGGACTCGTTAATTTCGACAGCTATCAGGTCGTTAATTCTTCGAACTGTCAATCTCTCAATTCTGATTCCTTCTGTTAATCAAATCTTTTTGAACGTATCAATTTTTTAATGACAATTCTTTGTCGGGTAAAATGTCAACGGATTAAGTATTCTCGATTGATTCGTAGACTCTGGAATTATTGATAAAAGATGGATCGTAGAAAATATTCTTACATTACAACTGTCCGATAAGTGGAAGTTTTAAAAAATAAAAGTTTTACAGACAGAATAGGACTTATATAAAATGTGAGGATAAAAATTGTACTATAGGAGCAACAGATAATACATCCACCGATATAAAAATGATCCTCTATTTTTGTAGCAAATACAAAGACATTGAAAAACTATTCAATGAACAGACTGTTCACAAAAATTCCACAAAAGCAGATACTTCGAAACGTGTAAGTTTCTCAAGCAGAATTTCCTTAAAAAAAAAAACGAAAAGGATCTGTTAATTTCGATGCCCGACAGAGTTAGAATGCTCCCATTCGTTTCGAAGGATATATTTCAAAAATAATACATTCTTGATTTACTCTTAATCCTCCGGAATTATTTAACTTTTTCTTTTTCCTTTTCATAACGTTAATGGTTTCAAATCGCAATGCTTTTAAGATCTCCGGCCGAACGTTCGTGTTTACGACGCGGTAGCTGCGAGATGGCGCTGTTCGGTGGTTGCGAAAAAAAAGAGTGGAAAGGTTAATGTTATAGAAAGCGAAGGGATGCTCTCATTCCGTGGTAGCTTTAAGGGCGATAAAGTGGGAATTTTCTGGCGGAACGAGGCTGGACGTCCGAGAGAATCCCCCGCAAAAAGTGAACTACGAGGTAAAGAGTGAAAGTCGACTGGCGGCCTCTTTGAGCAAACTCCATATTCGAGCCTGTTCCGAGAATACGCGGCTTGATTAGTTCTCTTTTGCCGTGGACTCTATAAAATCTTGTTAAAAAGTAAATATAAAATCCCGTTGAAACTCTCCCTGTTAATAAGGAAGTAATAGGTTCATTAAACTTCTTCTTTATTCAAATTGAAGTTGACAGCACGTTGAATCAAAATTATAATCCTTTTGTGATTCTTTGCAGGCAAAACAGAAAAATGTTAGAGAAAAAGTTTTTAAACTTCGTTGAAAGTAAACGATCGAAGTAAGAAATAAACAGAACATTTCACGTAACAGGTATTATTCGTATAACTGAGGTTCTACTGTCCTGGAAATTTTGCAGTAAATAAAATTAATCTGAACAACTTCCCGTCTCGATTTCTCAAGTTTATTCACGGATCGTTCGACTCTCTAAAAAAAACGGATCATTTTTAATCCACGAGAAAAACTTTCAACGAGAAAAAACAAACACAACTCGTTTCAACTTCGGCAACGCT